TATGTAAATGACATGTGACATATTCACTACGGTATGTGACAAATGCATATGTACATATGATCTACGTCAACTATAATTATCTAAAATATGAACTTGGATTAAAAATCTGTAACAGTTCATAGTCATTTGTGACTTCTATAAAGTTACATGTGACCTCGTCTTAAAATGCAGATTTAAGAGAGAAATATAACACTTGACCTAGAATTAGCATGCAGATTGAAATTCGAAACATGAACTCGAATAAAAAATGCATGTATGATATATCAACATACATAACTATACTAAAATTAAAGATAGAACATATATCATATATATCTTAATGTGCTGCATGAGGTAGAGACATATGAGCTAATGAACCCTCGCCCATCAGTGAATCAAGATGCACAGTGTGTGGCTCCGTCGAAGAATCCATGGAAGAACGGATAAAAAAATGACGTCATTTATTTTCTCGGAGGTGGATTAATAAAATAGTCATCGTCATCCTTGATATCACTCGAATGGTCCAATCGTCCGTCAGTAATAATTAGAATGCATGTTTCGGACTTGTTGATTGGTTGTTGGAGTTTTGAACTTTTGCTACACCATCTCCATATCAGACAGGTAGTACTTGAAGTTGTTACAACAAAATAAATTAAAAGACTTGTCGCTAAATTTTTATACTGATTGCATAATGTAAACTGTAGCTACATAAAGTAGTGAGCTGTGACCTGATAACGAGAATTGTTACCTGTGCATGAAAACTATTTACTGTGACATGTAAAATGTAAAATGTGATTTTTCCTTTGACTGCATAATGTGAAATGTGACATGTAACTCTCTAGGGTTAATTGTGACTGACTTGTGACTTATTTAAGTAATACACAAATAAAATGAAAACTTACATTTCAGGGGCAGAGAACACCTCTTCTTCAAGTTTAGTACTAACTGGCAGTTTATCTGATCACCAATTCAAGATATGTGGGTACCTCTTCCACATCCTAGATGTTACAGTCTCATCTAGCTGTGGAATAGGCTCATAAATCCAAACTTGAAAGGCAACTAGAAATCCTTTGAGTCTATAATGAGGATTTCTATTACTCAATCCATCTTTTAGTGAGTTTATGGAAAGCTCGAACAAATTTTTCGTCCACAGAAACATCTTCATAGTATCAAAGTCGTCAACAAGAGCAAAAAAATAATTCTCAACAACCTTCTTGTACAATGTCAATAAAAGAAATGATGTTATTAAATAAAGAATCTTAATCTTCATCATATCATGATCGTCTTCATTCGTAAGACAAATAAAGATGTCTCTAAAATCTTCATTTGTGACTAAGTTCAAGTGTCCAACATATTTCTCCTCAATCCTGGAATGTGAATTTTGAAAACTTCTCCTCACGTCATGTCCTTGGTACCTAAGTCTCAATAAAAAGGTTATTCTATAGCTATTTTTAGATACACATGGTTACCTCTCATCCAAATTCAATTTAATTAAAAATTAGTAAAAGACAATTTTTTTTAAACTTCAATTTCTTGACACTAACTTATTCGATTTAACTTTTTCTCGAGTCGAAAACTCCTAATTAATTAGAAGCAACAAAAAGAGTCAAATATTGATATACTAAAACTTACTCTATAAAAATCTAATTATTTGACCTGAAAATAATAAGAATATAAAACATATTACACTTTAGTCCATCGACTTTCAAAATTATATATAAAAAAATATCTAGACCAAATAATTATATTTTATAAAATTTCATAAAATTTCATGACGTTGCAATCTTCTCTCCTTAAAAAGAATTTCGTCCTCGAAATTACCTCAACTACTTGAAAAGTTCTAGATACTCGACCATTGACATAATTACAATATATCATAACATAAAGCATGAAAACTCATAATTATGATAAAAGAATGACATTTCATTTCATACCATAGATCAATTGAACTGTGGTCGAATAGTCAGCGTCGCTTGCATAGAATTTTTTTTTATATCATGTGTTAAAACTTCACAAAAGTTTACATATCTTTTTATTTATTATACATATCTTTTTTTAGAAAAACAAAACATCGCTTGAAATTGTAGCTAAACACGTTAAAATGTTTAGTCTAAAACATGGGCAATAGCACAATAACAATTTAAATCTATAGTGTCATCAATTCAAAATCCATCCAAAAATATTTCATATCAAAAAAAAAAAATCCATCCAAAAATATTATTATTTAAAATCAATTTGAATTCAACTTAAAACTATTATTTAAATCAATTTAATATCTAAAACGCATAAACATTTAATATCAAACTTTTGAAAAACAAAAATCTATCATTTAAAAAAATATAGTGAACAGTGACTCCGACGGTCATTCTTCACCTGAACAGTAAAATTTTTTTTTTTTTTAAATCTGCAATAATTCTTTTTTAAGCCTACAACAAAGTAGACCCGTGCTCTAATATTATGCTGTAACACCCTAAATTTTTATAAACACTAGAGTGTTATCAAAATTTTAATTTTTTTTTTTTTTTGTAAATGAAATGATAAAAAATTATTTATTTAATAAAAATATTGTATATCCACAAATTGAAATTAAACAATTAAATTTTATTTTTCGAAATAAACATATCCAACTACTATTTAAATATACAAGTCATTGAACATAAATGAAACTAATTAATCAATTAAGGATAGAAAATCTATAATTTTATTTATTTAAATCATCTTGACAGTCTGCATCATCATCCCATCACAATTCCAATCGATCCGAACTAACTTGTAAAATTTTTGTAAGAGAGATTATTTAAAAATACTACGTCCAGTTTTCATACACAATTATATAACAATAAAATAAACACTTCATACTATTATTCTCTTATGGAGTATATCAATGATCAAGCGACACACTCATCTTATGTCATTTTAAATTTCCAAAAGAGTTCATATCTCTTTATAAGGAACTCGAAGATCTACTGACAATTCATGCATATTTACTCAATATATAAGTATAAGGCAAATGCATCACTTACACGAAAGTATCTTACATTAATAGATTTGAAAGTTATGAAGGAATATAAAATAATGCATGTGAAAATCATTTTCTTTTCCTTTCTCTCTCTGCCTCGTGTATGAATAAAAAATATATTATATGATGATATTGTTGGATTTTCTCTCCCTAGCCCTTGATTTCCATTTGTCGTGTATGTATAATATCTCTGTGGTGAAAATTCTCTTGAGGGAGTATTTATAAGGTATATAACCTAGTATTTCAATTATATTTCATTGCAACAATGAGACGTTGTCGTGTGCAGTCAATGAATTTGTATAGAATAGGTTTCCTGGTGGAGGCTATTATTCTAATCCCAATTACTAAATGCGATGTAGCTTTTTAATTTAATTACAAATCTAATCAATTAAAAAAGTTATTCTATATCCATCATTAGATACACGTGGCTACATCTCATCCAAATTCAATTTAACTAAAAACTAATGAAAGACAATTTCTTTAAATTTTAATATCTTGACACTAACTTATTCAATTTAACTTTTTCTCGCGTGGAAAACTCCTAATTAATTACAAGCTACAAAAAGAGTCCAATATTGATATACTAAAACTTGCTATAACAAAATTTAATTATTTGACCCAAAAATAATAATAATATAAAACATATTTCACTTTAATCCCTCAACTTTTAAAAACCAAATAATTATATTCTATAAAATTTCGGGACGTTACATAATGATATTTAGCACCACTAGTATTTAACACCAGTGTAGATAACATCATTAGTGGTATTAAATTATAGATTTAATTAAATGAATTATATAATTTCACATTAAATTGAAATTAAAGGTGCATTGGAGTTGAGCTCGACATGACCAAAAAAAAGAAACTCTGTTTCGCAGGTCGGGTAGCGGGATCAACCACTTTTACACCATTAATAAAATTCTCGAAGGGAATCTAATCATCCAAGAAATTGTTTTTAACTTACGAAAGTAAATAGGACGACATTTGCATGAGCTTGCTACAGCAACAGATTTAATGACACATTTAAAAATAGAGGGACGGACAGCTTGAAAAATAAAAAAACACAACATCCAATCAAATGTTGCCACCTCACCCTGTTACCCCATTTTGTGTCAATCATCGTGGCCAAGCAGCATTATTCACCTTTGCATGTCCTTGTCTCAAAATTGATTGCCATCCAACTAATAAAAAATATTGAACATACATTGCACGAGACCAATTTTTAAATGCCAGAAGTAGCTTACACGAAATCACATTTGCCTCCTTGCTTTATTGGAAGTAAGAAGATAACTATAAACGTTTCATTTGAAAATTTAAATTATTACGGATCTAACATATGAAATCTTTATGTTCTTGAATACTATGGATGGTAATGGGCTGAGTCGAACCGGCTCGACCTTTAAACACTCGGGCTCAGCTCCCTTTGGCTCATGAGAATCATGGGCCAAGTCAAGCCACCCTGATTAAATTCGTTTGTTATAATAATAATAATAATAATAATAATAATAATAACAACAAAATAAGCCTTAAAAAAGCAAATTTATTATTTTTTGAAAGAAATTAATAGAGTAAGCAATAAAAATATTTTTTAAAAAATGAGCTTGGTCCACGAGCTCAAACTAATCGCCTCATGGGAAAAGGTGACTCAGCCCATGATTCTTCTGAAAATGAGTTTGAACCATCCATGGACCGAGTCGGAGGAGCTGAGCTGGCAAGCGGCTCTATCAATTTACCACTTTCGTGGGATAACATAAGAGTTGCGATCTAATTCAAACAAAAGATTGCAAATCACAAAAGCAACAATCAAGGTTAAAGAATTAGTAAAGAAATATAATAGTTGGAATAAGTTTTGCCAAGAAAATTTTTATTATCAAACACCAAAAAAGTTGGAACTTGAAAAATATGTTGAATCAAACGGGCCTTAATGAAAATCAACAAGAAATCCATTAGAATAACTATGTTAAGTTCCTTAAAAGACAGAATTACAACTTACAACATATCAATTATCCCTATAAGCAATGTAATTTGCCAAAGCAATCAATGGAGCAGCCTTTTCAGGATCAAATTCAGCAAGCTGTTCTTGAGCTTCCCTATTCAATTTCTCAGCAAATTCTCTCGATTTATCGATTCCGATCAGCTTTGGATAAGTAGTTTTATCAGCCAACCAATCTTTGCCTGCAGTTTTCCCCAATTCTTCAGAAGATTTTGTGACATCAAGAATATCATCCACCACTTGAAATAACAGCCCAATACACCTAGCAAATTTCCTTAATTTTGCAACTTCTTGATCATTTGCACCACCCAAAATAGCCCCCAACACAACTGATCCCTCCAATAAAGAAGCAGTTTTGTGTATGTGCATGAACTCCAAATGGTCTAATCCCACGTCGGCATTTCCTTCGGTCCANCCCAAAACAACTGATCCCTCCAATAAAGCAGCAGTTTTGTGTATGTGAATGAACTCCAAATGGTCTAATCCCACGTCGGCATTTCCTTCGGAACATATATCAACAACCTGGCCTGCAACCAATCCTTCAGAGCCAATACACTTAGCCAATTCACCAATCACCCTCACAATCCTTTCACTAGGCACCCCTTTTGTGGCAACTGCCATATGCTCAAATGCATATGCAAGAAGGGCATCACCAGCCAAAACAGCCACATCCTCACCAAAAACCTTGTGATTCGTCGGCTTTCCGCGCCGCAAATCATCATTATCCATAAAGGGGAGATCATCATGCATCAAAGACATGGTGTGGATCATTTCAACAGCACAAGCTGCAGGCATTGAAGTGGATTCTTCCCCACCCACAAGCTCACAGGCTGCAATACAGAGCATAGGCCTAACCTTTTTGCCACCAGCAAGAATGGAGTACCTCATTGATTCATGAATCTTTAAAGGCTCTTGCAACAAAACTGCTTCTTCCAAGGCCTTGTTCACAGAACTAGCCTTTTTGAGCATATAGGCCTTGAAATTGAATATAGAAGAAGGTGAAAAAGTCTGGGTTGTTTTACCTTTACCCTCTTCTTGATGTTCTTTGGTGAGAATAGCTGAAACTGACGATGAGATAAAGGGCTTTTTGATTGAATTTGGGGAAAAATGGGAAATGGGCAATTTGTTCTTGAGTGGATGAGGAAGAACAGAGGATGTCAATCTTGATCTACTGCTCTGTAGATCGTTCATTTGTGAACATGTTGCAAAAGGATTCACAAGACTCATTCTTGCTTATATATAAATTCAAACCAAACCTCTTATTAAAAATGACTGATCGCCTTTCTCAGACCCCTATTACCCAACCTGAAAGTGAACCACTCTCTTTGTGTGTGAGGACTAGAAGTTGAATCGTTTAAAGAAAGATTAGAGACATTCAGTCCATTGGGTAGTCCTCTATGATGGACAATCAAGAAACACAATTTTTTTGCAGTCTCCGGTGCAGAGAATTTATAAGTGAAAGTTTGGTGTTGACTTATAATTTTATTATTATTTTTTTTGGGAAAATTCAAGCAATATTTATTGCTATGAATTAGACCAATGGCAAAGTAAATACAAGGATTGGCAATTTGATAAGGAAAAAAAATGGTGGGTTACGATTATCTTGTGTGGTGAGGTGTTCTATGTGTGAGTTTGTGATTGCATATTTTTTTTATATATGTTTTTGTTTTTGTTTTGGAAAAACAAGTACTTCGTTGATGTTTATCTAAATTTCTATGTAGGTAAACAAGTTATAATTTTGAGGAATTTGGCATGTTTTTGTTATTTTTCTCATTTTAACACGACTTAATCAACTCAATTATTAAATGAAGTTAGTCAATTAATATACTCAAACATTAATGACAACTTGAAAAATCAACTCTGTAGTATAGTTATGTACTTAGGCTGTGTCTGGTACAGCTTAACTTTTTAAAAAAAATCCTTTTTTGTACCGTTATTTTTTGAATTCAGCCGCCTTCGTTGAATGTTTGTCTCACATGTGAGCCATGCTGGTTGAAAAAAAGGTCACATTTTTTATCAAAATCTGTATAAAATTGCCAACGGACACGCTCTTAAATTATTTAGAGGATGTTCTCTTTGTGTTTCAATTTTATATTTTGATTTTTGAATTCATTTTGAATTTTGTGTTCTGAGTGTCCATTTTGAGATTGTTGAAAATGTGTTTTTTTTGCATTTTGAAAAATTGTTTTCAAAAATAAAAAAAACTCATTTACTTTTCCCTCCCATCTTTCTCTCGTTAACGAGCAACTCATACGAGTCCCAGCATGATTCGACCGACTCGATTGCCAGAGAAACAAGTTAGTACCTTTGAGGTACTCAGATTCAACAAGTCGAATGCCCTGTTTAATATACTGGCATTCCAATCGGCTATCCACGTTATTGGGCCTCTTGCCTTTCCGTAAAACACCAAAGTCTAAAAGGCACCGGGTGGAGACATTATCGTTTTGGAGGAGGTACCCGTTGGGCTGGCAACGGCGGGAGGTAGACTGAACCAATACTTGGCACAAAATTGATAAAAACAGCAAAAAATAACAAATACGCAGCATTGAATTTATGGGTTTATAACGTCGATTCAGAAAACTCTAGAGGAGGTTTGTTTTATTCTACGGCGGCTTGCCATTGAGCTTTTGAGGTGGGCAGGGAGTAGGGTTTTGGGAAATTGAGTTGATAATGAAAAACATAACTATTCATTGAGTAGCCAAGGTAGAGATTATCCAGTAGAAGATAAAGAGAAAGAAGGTTTTGGGAAAGAATAAAAGGAAATTTGGAACACAGGAGCAGATGTGGTGAATTGAGGGATCCACCATTGTTGTTGAAAGTTGAGCTATTCCTATCCGTAGAATAAGGCGAGATGAAAGTGTAAAAATGGAAATGGTCAAACGGTCAAATCAACAACTCCCCTTACGCCAGTGGTTTTCAGGCGGTGGTGTAGTGGTGCAGTGGTGGTTGGCGGTGATTGAAAACATTTAAACCGCGTTTTGAAAATTTTGTCTTGATTATAACTGAAAACACCCAAAACGAAATCGTTTTGGATTTTCTTTGTAAATTTTTAACTTGTTTTCAAAAACGTGTTTTCAAAAATAGAAAAGAAAACGCGTTTTTACTATTTTGAGAAATCAAAAACAAAAAGTGACTTGAAAATAGTAAAAAGAATAGGCCCTTAGTCTCGAGAGTTTGTCAACAATTGCATGTTTAATTTTTTTTTTTTTTTTCCTTTGTCTTTTTCCCATTGTGCAACTCTTATGCTATGCTAATACAAGATAATTAAAAGATTTCCAAATTTATTTATTTCTTTATTTTAAGGGTTTGTTATACATAAGAATGTCAAAATGAATCGCCGAGTCTAGTGGGCCGAGCCCCATTTTAGGACATCGGCTCGAGCTCGAGCCAACAAGCCACACGGGAAAGCCCATGTCACGGGCCATTTACGGTTCGAACGAGACAAGTCGAGCTTCATTAAAAAAACAAAGTTAAACAGAGGCAGCTGCCTTGTTAAAGGCAGACCCAATATTTCAAAATTTGAATTTGAAATTCAAATGTAGTTGAAACGAATACATTTTTTGGGCTATAAACACACGAAAAAAATTTACCACTTCATATCAATTTATTTCAATCAATTTCTAATTTTTTTACTCAATATTCAGTATTCTAGTCTTCTTCAACTTCTTTACTCCATTTTTTTTTTACTCTAATCTCCAATTTAGTTGAGTTTCATAAAATTTTGCAGTTTCAATTTCAATCTCCAATTTCTTCACTCTAATATTCAATATTTTTTTACTATAATTGCTATAGATGGATTTTACTAGTGATGCGGTTAATCAGTTCAAGGATAATTCGAGTACTCCATCAAACTACGATGCATCTCAAAATGTTCAAATTGATTTGGAAGATATCGAAGTGGAGGAAGTAGTCGATGTTAAAAGGTCGAAAAAAGAGTCTGTAGATTGTTGGCAACATATGACTCGTAAAAAAGTTGGGGTTCAAAATGGAGTTGATATTTGGAAAGAATGTTTCAATTATTGTGGTAAAGAACTTAGT